ACACACATCCTGTGTGTCACATGTCCTGTGTGTTTCTCAAGATGCCAGGTCCAGGACACGAACTGTGCGGTTGGCCGTGTGTGATCCATCCACTTTAATCACCATGCCACCACAGCTGGTCTAAGAGGAATTTCTAATGGTGACTTCTGACATTACATTTTTTTCTTTAAAATTTCAAATAAAAGGACTTTCACACAGTTTTCTAAACATTTTTAATAACAGTATTAATATTAGTTTTATGGTCAGATGAGAAAACTGGGACCCAAAGAGTTTAAATGAACTACCCAAAATAGTGAGTCATAGCCAAGTGCAATTCTCTACCTGATCTGTGTTTTATGCATTAGGCAATATTCACAAATGACATTTATGTACCTATTGCATTATTAAAGTATAGGCAAATTAGAGAGAGATGATAAAAGTTGATAACCAAATAATCCAGGCATTACAGATACATAACAAACTTTGCAACTAATTTTAATTCTGATTTAAGTCTGTGGCTTTAAACACGTGTCAGTTGGGGCCAATAGGTGGTCTAGTGGTTAAGGCACTACACTCCCATGTGTTAGACTGCAGTTCAAGTCCTGGACCCAGCATCTTGAAACTCATGCCATTGCATATGCCTACCAAAGACCCCCAAGAAGAGAATGGAGGAGAAAGGATTGTGGCATGGCCATCCTCTTACTTTCTGTCTCTCTGGTGAGCTCACACACAGTGTAGCAAAAAAAAAAAAAAATCTCTCTCTCAAAAAAAGTGTCAATTTCTACTTTATTTTTTTTAATTATTAAAATATTTTATTATCACAAAATACCTTCCATATAAATCTCTGAATGAAAGCTCCACAAGGATAGGGGGTTTTGTTTGTTTGTTTAGTTAATTATTGTATCCTCAGTTCTTAGAACAGACACCGGCACATAATAAACATTCAGTAAGTCACTTAATATATACTTTCCTCATTGATGTTGTTGGACCCCCATGTAATCGACTGTGGTTCGAGTCCTGGACCCAGTGGCTGAAACTCATGCCAGGCACATGTGCGTACGTGTCCAAGAAGCAATTGCGGTGTGGCCATCCTCCCCGGGGGGTGGGGGGGAGGTGATTTCTCGTTTTCTGTCTCTGTCTCTCTCTGTCTTTCTGGCGAGCATACACACCCTATAGCAAAAACTTCTCCCCCCCAAAATTTTTTTTAAATAAAAGACACTTTTAAATAAAGTTTATCTACTTACTTCACCCATGAGAGAAGGAGAGGCAGAGAGGGGTACCCCCAGCAGGGTCCCTTTACTATGGTCTTCTAGTCCCAGCTGACCCCATCCTGGACATACATGTGATGGAAACCTAGAATCTTTCCCAGATGGATCCAGTTGCATTACCACTGCACCACCATTTGACTCCAGTGAAAGCCTTTTTGTTTCTTTGTTTAATTTGCCAGATGGTACATGCAATCACTGGAAAGAGACAGGGAGACAGAGGAAGAAAGAAAGCAAGAAAGCACCTCCTATGAGGCATGGTCACATTCCAAACCCTTCTCCTCCATTTCTCTCTCCTTTAGGGATTTTGGGCACACACACATCCTGTGTGTCACATGTCCTGTGTGTTTCTCAAGATGCCAGGTCCAGGACACGAACTGTGCGGTTGGCCGTGTGTGATCCATCCACTTTAATCACCATGCCACCACAGCTGGTCTAAGAGGAATTTCTAATGGTGACTTCTGACATTACATTTTTTTCTTTAAAATTTCAAATAAAAGGACTTTCACACAGTTTTCTAAACATTTTTAATAACAGTATTAATATTAGTTTTATGGTCAGATGAGAAAACTGGGACCCAAAGAGTTTAAATGAACTACCCAAAATAGTGAGTCATAGCCAAGTGCAATTCTCTACCTGATCTGTGTTTTATGCATTAGGCAATATTCACAAATGACATTTATGTACCTATTGCATTATTAAAGTATAGGCAAATTAGAGAGAGATGATAAAAGTTGATAACCAAATAATCCAGGCATTACAGATACATAACAAACTTTGCAACTAATTTTAATTCTGATTTAAGTCTGTGGCTTTAAACACGTGTCAGTTGGGGCCAATAGGTGGTCTAGTGGTTAAGGCACTACACTCCCATGTGTTAGACTGCAGTTCAAGTCCTGGACCCAGCATCTTGAAACTCATGCCATTGCATATGCCTACCAAAGACCCCCAAGAAGAGAATGGAGGAGAAAGGATTGTGGCATGGCCATCCTCTTACTTTCTGTCTCTCTGGTGAGCTCACACACAGTGTAGCAAAAAAAAAAAAAAATCTCTCTCTCAAAAAAAGTGTCAATTTCTACTTTATTTTTTTTAATTATTAAAATATTTTATTATCACAAAATACCTTCCATATAAATCTCTGAATGAAAGCTCCACAAGGATAGGGGGTTTTGTTTGTTTGTTTAGTTAATTATTGTATCCTCAGTTCTTAGAACAGACACCGGCACATAATAAACATTCAGTAAGTCACTTAATATATACTTTCCTCATTGAACTTTCTGACTGATTTTGCATCCTTGCTTTTCGTCCCTGGGATCATTTAGAGCCTTATTTCTTAGCATTCTCACACGCCAGTAAGGAAACCATGCCTTTACTTTCATTGGCTTAGAGGCCACATGAGCAAATCACAGGCTTCATGTGAGTACTCCACACCCTCTAGAAGTGCCCCTTGGCAACGGAGCATGTGAGTATGTCACAGTGAAGATGTGGAGGAGCTAATAACTGCTCTTAAATGAATTTCACATAGAGCCAATAAAACTTTTTTGAGATTTAATGTGTAAGATATATTTTGAAATTTGACAATGCTGACAAACGAAAGTGAGGATGAGTTTAATTATAAGCATCTTCTCTTCCTTGCTAAGATTCTGGAAGCTACAATAAAGCTGAAGGGGCTTTTAAAAAGAATCCATGGTGGTTAAGGTGCTGGATACTCCCACATGGCTGACCATGTTTCGAGTCCCAGGAGTCCCGGACCTGGTGGCTTACTTTCTTACTTCCCCTCTTTCTCTCTGTCAAATTTTAAAAAATAAATGAATGAATAAATAAAATGAAAAAAAAAATCAGATGGGCTGCAAATAAGAGGATGAATAAGGTTCAGGAAAAAGATACACCTGGAAAACAATGAAGTTTGGTTGAGAGCATGGGATGAGGAAGATTTTTAAAGTTCTGTCTTTAAATACTCTTTCAAGTTCTTCTCTATGTATACCTCAAGGCAATTATTGGCCTACCCATGCATGCAGAAGATTCATAAGAAGGGTAAATAAAGTTTTATAATTGAATAAAGCCTACACACACTAGAACAAACAATTTTTTAAAAATGTCAACTTCTTTGCTTCCTATAAAATAGAAATAGGTGTGTTTTGTAAAGTGATATTTTCAAATGTAAGATTTCATTTATCTAAGTCTTTCTTTTTAAAAAATAATTATTTAATTTCATTAATTTTTTGTTTTTATTTGACAAGAAAGAGACAGAGAGAGAAGGAAAGTGAGAAAGCAACCCACCAAGTCCAGGACACAAACCATGATCAGTCATGTGGGAGTTCAGCACCCCAACCACTGTGCCATCTGCTGGTTCTAATCTAAGTCTTTTTATGGAGGTGGTCTTTGGAACTTTAGACACAATTTTGGTTTTCTCTCTCTCTCTTTTTTTCTGTTAAAATATCTGTGTTTCCTTTTCATCATACAATTGATCATTTATAATGCTCAAATTTTAAGATTCTGAGGAAGTGGAAGCCCATGTTATTTGGGGAATGGCATAGTAATGAATACTGGCAATGCCAAAGACTTCAGAGAAGTTTTTGGTTGCCAGGTACATGAAGCTTGATGTGATGATCAGCTTGTGTGCAATGCCTTATAGAAAAGAGCACACCAATTTCCAGGTCAGTACTTCTTATAAACCTAGGGAAAAGGATTATGAACACTCTAATGGGAAAGAATTTGTCTTGGCTTGATATGATTTACCCAAGCTTGGAAGAACTATAATCTTGTACAACTATGCAGGAACAAAGTGAAACAAGTCTCACAGATATACCTCCTCATAATAGTTCTTATTCCTAAGGAGAATTAGAGTCTAGTGGGTCAGCTAAATCAGTCTTCCCAAGTGGGTGTGTTGTCCAGAAGATCTTGGAAATTTACGTATTTAGTCTCTCAGCCAACAGTCACATCTGATTTACCTCATTTCTACCCAATGACTTGTGGATATTCCATGATTGTCGGCCTCTTTGTACAGCAACCTCATTAGTTCCCACTTCTCGCTCTGTGGCTTCATTGTTAACACACACACACATTAAGTGATCATTAGGTTCACAAAAAAGAAGTGGAGTCTCTTTAAGAACTTAAATCATAAAAGATAAGTCTATTCATGATATATTTTTTAAATCCTGCGACACTCTTTTCTAGATCCCCGAGATATAAACAGTTCATATGAACAAATAGCCTAAGAAAAGACTAGCTTCATTAACATAGTCCAAGAACTAGAGTCTAGTCTGAGTTGGAGAACATTTTCAAAGAACATGCTTTGTCTCTTTACAGCACACAGAGTAAAAACAAACTAGTGGGATATTGCTCACAGAGTTTATCAAATGAATTATGAAATGTTGTTTTCTAGCTCTTTTTGAATTATCTGGAGGGTAATGATGGTACCCACAGTTATTCTCCTACTTAGTCGATTTGTGCTTCCTTTTTGTACCTCCAATTTCCAGAGGAATTGTTTCTTCACAGTAACACAGCATGGAAGATGAACAAAACATCCCAATTCTGTATTAATAGAGTACAAATTAACTAGTTATTAATTCTTTATCCACCCACCATGATGCGCAAGTTTTGTGGAGAATGGTCAGTCAAAATAAAATCTTCACTCCAGCAGACATACAAAGAATGTCAACAAACGCGCACATTTTTTCTTTGTTCTTTTTCTCTCTTCTTGAGATTTCTGGACAACTAGAAACAACTAGATATCTTCTATCTTTTTTCTTTTAGTTGTGCAAGTTGGTTTCCCATGCCTTGGCAAACAGGATGGGGTAGCAGCATTCGAAGTGAATGTTATTGTAATGAATTCTGAAGGCAATACCATTCTCCAGACTCCTCAAAATGCGATCTTCTTTAAAACATGTCAACAAGGTAATCGCTAATGGTGATCCAATAGAAGGCTTATAAGGCTTCCAGATGTGATTTGGGCAAAAAATAATATAGTTGTTTGTTTTTGTTTTTGTTTTATAATTATAACCACACCAGCGGGAGGAAGGAGTAGAATGGTAAACAAGGTCTAGAAATAGTAAAGACAGACTTTCTCTGGCTTTTACCTCATTTATAATTTTAGGAAGTTCAGTATCCCTTTATTCAAAACACCCTCTTTCCTTCCTCCCTGCCCACTCTTCCAACACAGTCTTTAGGATTCCCCGTGGTATCTCACCTGTGGTCATGCATCTCCCCAGTTTTATTATTCTGGTTCCTCGTAATAAGGTTGCTAGGCATTACCAGCACTTCCCACCTTTTAAAGGTAGCACTGCTACATCCCCTACTAAAAGTTAGGTGCTGCCCACATCCACAGAGAACAGGTTGCCACCAAGATGCCAATGATTTCTGCCAAGCCATGGTCTCAGCATCTTAGTCCCAGATGCCCATTTAAGCATAAAGTCCTGGCTTCCTTCCCACCCCTATCCAAGCCATTCCAGCACAAAATTTAACCTCTGGAGTCTTTTGGTACTCTGAAGATGTACCAACAACTCACCACACCCTCTGAAAATGAACATTGAAAGTAGTGTCCTTCATTCATTCTAATACAATGTGAATTTAAGGAAGTATAGTAGGTTGATAGGAGGGGATGAAGACACAGTCAAATTTGCTTTACTCTCTCCTTACTATTGGAAATATAATTGAGAGAGGCAAAAGTTTGACTTCGAAAAAGACTTTGTAACATCCAAGTGGAACAGAGAGAATGAAGTAGACGTTTTGGTATTCAGTCCATCACAATCATTGAGGCTCCGGAATAAAAATGACCTCTCTCATGTCTCGCGCTGGCTGTAATTCACCCATCATGATTTCAAGGGTGTCCACATAAGCCTTGTTTCTCTTTGGTGAAGCTGAGTGCCCAGGAGGGTGCCGAAATGGAGGCTTTTGTAATGAAAGACGTGTCTGCGAGTGTCCGGATGGGTTCTACGGACCTCATTGTGAAAAAGGTAAGGAGCAAAGAGAGTGGGCTTCCTTTGCTTGCTTCCTGGGGAACGTGATGTCATACAGGAGACCCACGTGGGACTTGAACATATCCTGTAAAATTATTTCTCTGGCTACATGGAAAAGATGGGTGAAACTTGAAAAGCCACAGAAGAGTTTTTGAAAAGCATTTCTTCTTAGAGTGATTCTCTTTAAAATCCATACGTGGTGGCAAACACTCCTGGCACAATGTCTCCATTCTTTGTGGCCATTCCTTGTCTAGCCCTCCTTCACTACTTTACGCACTGTACTTTGCCATAATCTTACGGAAGTTTTGAGGGTTTTTTCTTCACTGAAGTTGAGTTTAAAGCTATTATCACCATTGATTTTAAATGATCTATTCCAGTTAAAAGTGAAGGATTTACCATTAAGTGTACCTGAGTTAAGTTGTCATAGACAAAGAAAGAGTGAAGTGTGAAAATTATTTGAATCGTAAATGCATCTATTTCAGGAAAATTACTTTTAAGAAAGTTATATGAAAAAGAAGTAAACAAGGGAACCAGCAGTTAGCATAATGGCTATGTCGCTGGACTCCCACGTAGTCCACCGCAGTTCACGTCCCAGACCCGGTGGCTTAAAACTCACGCAGGATGTGTGTGTGTGCATGCCCAAAATCCTGAGAGGAGAATGGAGGAGAAGGGATTGCGGCGTGACCATCCCCCCTGGGGGGTGATTTCTCGCTTTCTGTCTCTATGTCTCTCTCTGTCTGTCTGGCGAGCACATGCGCCCTATAGCGAAAACCTCTCCAAAAAAAAAAAAAAAAGAAGTAAACAAGAAAATTGGGACTAATCCTAAAATACTTAAATACTAAAGACCTTCTTTATCAGAGTATGCAAAATATTTTTCACCAAGAGATAGAATAGTTTCTTATTTGCATTTATCTTGAAATTAGAAGAGCAAAGAAATAGAGCAGAGAGAAAATAGTTAACTTTAAGAAGACCACATTTTAGTCAAATGAATCTGGGGGAAAAAAGTAATCAGGTGATCAGATGGAACAAATCCAAAATTCTTTTCCAGGAAATGGTCTGCAAAGTTGAAAGGTGGCCCAACTTGTACCATGAAAGTAACTTTTTCTTTTAATATAAGAAACTTGTGTCTCTAAAATTAATTCTAATTTTAGAATTAACCTCCAAGCTTGAAATTTAGACCAGTTGTATTACTGACCTTTGAAGACGGTCTTGCTCCAAAATTATTTGGCCTTAATCAGGGTTCTCTCTCCCTATAAGCCCTTTGCACACCACGATGTATGAATGGCGGACTATGTGTCACTCCCGGGTTCTGCATCTGCCCCCCTGGATTCTATGGAGTCAATTGTGATAAAGGTAACATTTTCTATTAAAGAATAACATTCTTTTTACTTTTTAAATGTTTGATTAAAATAAGTATATTTAATACATCATCACTCTTCAAAACAGCTCTCTAAATAATAATCACTTAGAGTAAAGCTGGCTGCTACAATAACCTTGTTGTAGTGTAACGTGACGCAATAGAAGTTCAATTTCACTTACAGAATGCTCCAATGCAGGCGTACCTGGTCGGTGTATAGGCAGCCATGTGCAGGGACTCAGGTGCTGAGGCACTATCCATTTATGGTCCTTCCTGGGGCTTGAGAACCTTCTAGAACCAGTCAATGAACAAAAAAGAAAGGTTTAGATAATCATTGCTTTAAAATAAAACAAAACAAGCCTGACCCAGAAGTAATCCATAGAACTTGCATGCCTATTCCATGAGTAGGCATTAACTTCATGGCTCTGCTTGGGTGCCAGCAGAAGAAATGCCACCCTAGCTGGACAGCTGTCTCACACAGACAACCCATGTTATGAGAGAGACAAGAGACAGAGAGAGGGAAAGTGAGTGATCACTCCCGGGGGGGATGGCCATGCTTCAATACCTTCTCCTCCATTCTCCCCTTGGGATTTTGGACATGCATAGACACAAACAGGGTATGATTTTCAAGCTGTCGGGTCTGGGCCTTGAGCCATGGTCGGCTATGTGCAGTCTATTGTCTTAACCATCATGCTACCTGGGTTTCTGCTTCTTACCACTACAGCACCACAGCCAGATTTTACTCTCAGAAAGTAGATTAAAACTTCACCTTAAAAATTGCTGAATGATTTAGGCTCTTTACAAGATACCTGTTTTGCCCAGTTCACATCTATGTGGAAAAACATTAAAGAATATCTTGCAAAGTGTGTGTATTTATTGAAGTTATTATGTCCAAAATGCTAATTACATGAATAGAGCATTGTTTTTTGTTAATAAATATATGCCTTGAAATAAAATGATAAATGTTATTTTTGAGAAATCTTTCTTGGTGGTCATTCAGTCAGTGCCAAGTAATAGCACAGTGAGTGGTTTTTAAAAAAAGAATGAAAAGTTCAAGCAAAGAGCCTTCAGTATGAGTCTGAATCGTTATGTTTGCTATTTTACAATATACAAAGTACTTTATACAGTTGTCTGATTTTACTCGCAACAATCCTTTGAGATAAGCAAAGTACGAGTATTATTTATTTAATTCCCAAATAAGCAAAATGAGCTTATAGAGCTTGAATAGATTGACCCAGATTGATCTCTCTGTAGGTCATGTTTTTTTTTTTTTTTAATTTAGAGAGATTTATTATAGGGTGTGTGCACTTGCCAGAGAGACAGAGAAACTTGGGATTTTGGGCAGACATGCTCATGTATCTGGCTTGATTTTTAAGCTGCCAGGTCTGGGACTCGAACCATGGTCAACTACATGAAAGTCCAGTGACATAACCCTTACACTGGTTATGGTCCTGGTCATGCTTTTTTAATCTGGAAACTTGGAAGTACGTTGTTGACCTCCATGTTCCCCCTGACCTCTGAACTAATTGAGGTAGATCGAGAAAGCATTTCTACCTTTTTTCTTTTTCTTCTAAGAATTATTTTATTTAACTTTATTTACTTATTTATTTATTTATTTTAATTTGACCAGAGGGACAGAGGGACATAGAGAGAAAGCAAGCCTCCAGGTCTGGGACTTGAACTTTGATCAGCCATGTGGGAACCCAGTGCTCTTAACCACCATACCACCTGCTGGTTCCTCTATCTTTTTTCTAAAGTTGTCTTTTAAAAGCATAATGTTAGATTAAAAACAATTTCTGAAATACGTATTCGTAAAGATGAAGCATTGATAATAATTAACAGCCAGTGAGTAAAGTTATTTGTTGAATTTTCTTTTTGTCTGTTTAAATTTAGCATTCATCATCTCTGCTATTTCAAAGTTGAGCATTTCTTGAAGCAAAATTAAACCCATATTATCTCAGACTGTTAGCAAATAAAGCAAATCCTTCAGGGATTTGGATGATTTGGATGAAGAACTCTACAACAAACATTTATCCACATGTTTAAAGAGTTCATTTGTGAGGCCTGCTCATGCAGATGTGGCCGTTGTTGGTGTGATTTGTACGATGAAGTGTCAGTTGCCTGCTTTTCTAATGCTATGGTGTCACAAGCAACAGAACAGTCACTGTTGAAGGAAGACATCTATCTGTGTTCCAATACATTTTACAATATGTTATCTTTCAAATGAAATATTTTCCTTCTTGTTAGACTCTAGTAATATCTTTTTTTTTAAAAATTGCCACAGGATTTTGCATTTGCCAGAGGGGTGGGGGAGAGAAAGCACAGCCCCAACGGTGCGTGGTCACACCACAATCCTTTCTCCTTTATTTCTCTAGCCCATCAGGATTTGGGGCATGTGCACACATGGTTTACAAGCTGCTGGGGCTGGGTCAGCCATGTTGCGATCTGGCTTCCTTACCCACAAGGCTATGGGGCCAGCCCTCCAGAATTTCTTTTAGTTCTTTTGGCAAGTCTTTGAAATTCCACTTCATCTCACTGGAGATCTGGAAGCATTTAACTAATTGAACAAAAAAGATGGCTTTATTACCCAAGAGGGAGCACGTAGCTTCTGAAAATAAGTTTAATTACTAGCACAGAACTCGGGCCCAGCACTATATATTTGAACAAACATTAAAGCATAACTGTTCTTGGCCTTTAGAACATCCATTCTAAACCTTAGGAACTGAATAGTTAAGCATTGGCCGGTACACCCTCATCCTCAGTGAAAAATATTTCTTGTCTGGCCCATTTTCTTAGTCGAGAATCGTTGCACAACAGAAATGGAAAAAAGCTTGGTCAGAACAGAAAAATAATATACAAGTACTAAGAGTGTGGCCAAATCCTACAACCAGCTTTGTCAACGTCTATAACTTTCGATTAAGCTACCAGGCTCATCGCATTCGATGCATCATAAGGGACAGTGCCTGTGGGACACAGGCCAAATAGGCACTGATTCCAATGTTTTTTCATCTTCTTTTATCCCCAGGAGAATCAGAGACAAGTGGGGAAATAGAACGCACTCACAAAAATACTCTCCAGCCCTCACAGTACCAGCAGCAAGTAGCAAACAGGTCTAGAGAGAGCTATTCTCATAATCCCAAATCCGATACCTAAATGCTACTGTTCCCTTCCCCATCAAGGTCTGATTTTGCCCATAGAAAGTATAACATTACCTTATACTGGAAAATACTTGTGATGTTAACACCAAGTTTGCCTTTTAAGAGATACGGTAGAACATTTTAGCTGGGCTTTTTTCCCACAAAGAAAGCACACACAAAACTTTTGGATTTCCTTTCTGATTTTCCTACTTGAAGATTACTTTAGCTTTTGCTCCTCCATAGCCAACTTTGGCCTGTTTTACGTGAGACAAGAACACATAGGTCATATAACTGGAATTACTGAAACCCAAGCTTTCATTTTATTCTTCTTTACAGAATGATCCAATTTGTCTATTTTCAGATATTGCCACTCCCCATCCCCGTTTCTCTGTCTTCTCTCCATTTTGGGCGCTAGTGAATGACACTGAGAGAGGGTTTTGGATGCATCACAGACAGAGTGATTACTTCCTGCATAACTTTGTTTGTTGGATTCCCACACTAATACATCCAACTTTGCCCTTTTTCTGGCTCAGGCTGCCTCCCCACTCTTACCTGTGGGATCTCATGAGGGTTCTAAATCTGTTGTTTTTCTGTATACAGTTGCTCCTTTCTCCAAATGTCATAAAAATCCATTTTAAAAAATCTTTTTAGGGGGGCTGGCAGGTGGCATGCTGGTTAAGGGTGCTGGACTCCCACATGGCTGACTGTGGTTCGAGTCCCAGACTTGGTGTCTTGCTTTCTCACTTTCTCTCTCTCTCTGTCTCTCTCTCTCTCTCTTTCCCCCCACCTCTGGTCACATTACAATAAATAAATAAGTGAAGTTAAATAAAATAATTCTAAAAAAATCCTTTTAGGATTTTAGAGATGAATCTCTTCATCTCACCATCTTATTCTGAAAGAAAGTTACCTTCTCCTTCATCAGATCCTGAGAGTTAAGATATCGCTTCCTTTTTTCTATTTCAAAGCAAGTTTCCCCCTTTTTTCTCATCTCATATCCTCCAACCTGAGGTTTAAAATGATTTTCTTTTATTTATAGCGCTTTTTCCTTTCAAGTACATAGTTATTTTTAAGGAAAAGAATTTGTTTACACACCGTTCCCTTTTACACTAAGCTATAAACTAGAGAAGGGTAGTATGCGGTGTGTGGGATAGCCTGTTGTGTTCTAGAATCTAAAAATGGCCAAATAGTTGGTTATAATTTTTGAATTGTAAAGGAATTTACCTTTTTAAGTAAATACATAGGCAAGTAACAGATGCCTGAGAAATATAACCTCACCTTCAGTGAAATTTTTGCTAGATTTAACCTACTGTCTAATGCAACAGCCCCATTATTCATTCTGACAGCAAACTGCTCAACCACCTGCTTTAACGGAGGGACCTGTTTCTATCCTGGAAAATGCATTTGCCCTCCAGGACTTGAGGGAGCACAGTGTGAAATAAGTAAGTACTCATGGTTTTGTATCTTATTTCTTTCAGGGAACCTTAGAAATTTCATCCAACCCCATCATTTTATCAGGAAAGAATCTGAAGTCGAGAGTGTGAATAACTTACCTAAGGTCTTAGGCCAGTGGTTTCTTTACACCAGATTCAGCTGCCACTTGTTTTGGCTAGAGTGGGACACAGCGTGACATAGTCACTGACTCAGTTGTGTCTGGTTTGGATTACTCTGCATGTTGTGTTGTGTCTTGTTGGTCACTTTGTATCCTTGTCATTATGCAGAATCCATAGCTTCAGCCTAGAAATGTCATCCAGAACTTTGGAATAACTGGGATTTGGTCACCTACCTGCCGGCATAGAAAGTTTCTTCCCTGCCAGTCACTACCAGATACGATAGACTAGACTGAGCCTAGTAACCCACCTGAAAGGATAGACCCAAGAACAAATGGGGAAAAGAGGGGTACAGCAATAAAAAAAGAACAAACTAATTGCACACACGACATGAGTGAATCATACAGACATTCTGCTAAGGGAAAGGATCCAGACACAAAAAAGTGTCTTCTGCATAATTTCATGGTTTTGAAGCTCAATAACAGGAAAACAAATGATGATAGAAACCAAGAATCACAGTTGGGGGCTATAAAAGAGGTTTATAGGGTGCTGAAAACGTTCTGTGTCCTGACTGATGAAATGTCACCTCAGTATTTGTTTATATAAAGCAATAGTTGACTGTCAACCTAAGATTGGTGCACGTTATGCTTCACTATACATTTGTCTTGCTCCGACACACCCACGAAATTGTAATTTAAGGCTGGGATGTGCCAGATGGTCAATCTTTTAGGCATCATTATACCAAATTGCTTGTCCTGGCTTGCCCTCTACCAGCTGCATAGTCCTCAACAAGTCACATAACCTCTCTATTAAATTCAGAAAGGAGCCAACACATTCTAGATGGCTTTATGAGCTTGAAGACAAATGGCACCAGAGCACATGCCCAGGAAGGAGCAGATGGAATGTGAGCATGTCTGCTGAGGGTGCCTCATTCCTGCCATTCTGGATATGTTTGAGGAAAACTCAGTCACTATTCTTATTTCCAGCTGTGTTATATTGTAAAACACCACTGTGTTTAGTCAAGCCGTAGTTTTTGAAGTTGTAGTGGATTCAAAATAGAATAATATTAAGTTCTCATTTCTGCTTTCAACCTCTATTCTTTTTTTTCCCCTAAGTTTTTTTTATAATTTTTTTGATTTTTTTATTTAATTTTCTTTTCAACCTCTATTCTATTTGTGGGTTTTGTACTTTAATGAGTAGTAGATAAATTAACTGTGTTTTATAGAGTTCAAATGAAATGTCTCTGAAGTTTCCGTAGAACATGTACTCTTTTTTTTTTGTGTATATATATATATATATATATATATATAATTATTATTATTTATACATTCAATCATTATACATCATTTAGATTGTAAAGAGATTTTACCCAACATGATAGACACCACACACCAGGCGAGTTGAGAATACTATCACACATCATCAACAGGTATTTAATTGCCAAGATCTGGTTTCTTTCTGATTAATTACCTTTCCTGATAAAGATCCCACTGAACTAACTCCCCTCAATTTTCTGTCTGTACTTACACTCAGATTTTATATATTTGGTTTATGTTTGTGGATCTTCGTTCATGGTCTCATTTCTCTTCATGTAAGTATACACTTCCCTGCCCTAGGGTTATGAACTTTTCATTGGCAGAGACAATGTTTTTTTATTTCTGTTTGTTGTTGTTGTTGTTGTTGTTCCTGTTGTTTGTTTGTTTTGGTCATTCTGTTTTTCTAACAGCACTAAAAATGTGACTCTTTAAAAGCTCCCAATTGCCCCTACCATGAGTTTCATTCAAGTCCTTTTAGGAAATATTCTGTTTCTATTACAGCAACCACATTACCAGGAAAGTTTGGAATGGATCTTGAATTGAAAAAATGCCTCTAAAAATACAGAGACAAAAAGTACAATTTAATTATGTATGTTTTCATTTTTAATTGAGATATAAGTGATACATTATAAAATGTATTATTTTAGAGTATACCATTATACCATTCAGTCTATTCACAAAGTTGTGTGACCATCATATCTATTACATTCCAGAATATTTTATCACCCCTGAAAGAAAGCCCATACTCGGGGCCAGCAGGTGTCGTGGTGGTTAAGACACTGAATTCTCTCATGGCCAGCCATGGTTTGAGTCCCAGACCTAGCAGCTTGCTTTCTCACGCTCCCTCTCTGTATCTCTCTGGTCAAATAGAATAATAATAATAAATAATTATTTAAAAATGAAATTCCTGGGATCAGCAGATGGCATAATGGTTATGTTGCTGGACTCCCATGTAGTCGACTGTGGTTCGAGTCCCAGACTTGGTGGCTTAGACCAATGCCGGGTGAGTGTATGTGTGTGTGTGTGTGTGCTCAAGATCCTAAAAGGGAATGGAGGAGAAGGGATTACGGCGTGGCCATCTCCCCTGGTGGAATGATTTCTCGCTTTCTGTCTCTCTGTCTCTCACTGTCTTTCTGGTGTGTGCATGTGCCTTATAGCAAAACCTCTCAAAAACAAAAACAAAAGAAAGAAAGAAAGAAAGCCCATATTTATTAATGGTCACTCCCTAGTCTCCTACTTTCTGACACTTTTTTTTTTCAAGAATTTTTAAATTTAATTAATTAATCTATTTATTTATTTTAATTTGACCAGAGAGACAGAGAGAAAGAAAGAAAACAAGTCACCAGATCCAGGACTTGAACCACAGTGAGCCATAGTGGGAGTCTAGCACCTTCAGCACGCCTCCTGCTGGCTCCTACTTTCTGACAGTTTAGACTTACCTCTTCTGAACATTTCAGATAAAGGGAGTCATACCATGTATGGTATTTGGTGTCTGACCTGTTTCACTTCTGTCCATCCTAATGTTTTCAAGGCTCACCCATATTGTGGCATGTATTAGTACATCATTGTTTTTTTCTTGCAAATAGCGTTAAATTACATACAGCACATGCTATCTACTCATTCATTAGCTGATGAACGTTTGAATTTTTTTCACTTGGGGCTATTAGGAAGAAGGTGGCTATGAACATTTACATGCAAGCTTTTCTCTCTCTTGAGAATGGACCCAGAAGTAGAATTAATGGGTCTTACGGTAAGAGCTTTTTGAGGAACTGCCTATTTTCCAAAGTGGCTGCACCATTTTACATTCCCATCAGCAGTGAATGAGGGTTCCAGTTTCTCCACATCTTCACCAACATTCGTTATAGTTTGGTTTGTCGTTATTGCTGTTTTTGCTTTTAAAGTTTATATATTTATTTCTTTTTTGACAGAGAGAGAGACTGGCATCCTTAATAGTCTTGTCACATCATGATCTTACCCATAGCCTTCCAGCCAGCCAGGATCATGAGCCTTGTGTGTCCATGTCCTCTGGTCACCAAACCTGGAGCCTCCCACATGACTCCAATATCATGCAGCGGTGCCCTAGCCCCTGTACTACCATCGCTGGGCTATCTGCCGTTTTTTTTTTTTTTTTTAATGAAATGTATATCCTAATATTGTTTTTATTTTTCTTTCTCTTGACCTCCACCAAGAATGACACCTTCTCAAACTCTATTCTGACCTGATGGTGAGATATGCTTACAGGTTGACAAATAAACCATAGATAGAGGTGTCTGGATAGATGAGATGTACATTTATCTTACTATTTAAGGCTCATAGATTTCCCAAGAATCTTTATTGATTCTTCAGTTGCAAAGACCACACAAATTATTGTTATAAACTGTATTATAAATGGATTTTAAAAAATAACCGAGTTCATCTTTTTATAAAAGTTCTTAGTATATAATGTTCTCTGTAAAATAAATTTAATTATTAGAGAAAATGATTAAAAATCACCCGTAGGGCCAGATGGTGGCACAGCAGTCATGCAACTGGACCTCCATGGGAAGGTCCTTGGTTTGTGCCCTAGGGCTTCCTGTATGTCCTGGCTGCATTCGTGCCCCTGATCTATGGCTGGCTGACTCTAGTGATGGATCAGTGTGAGATCTTGTTGGATCTCTCTCTCTCTCAGAAAAAATAAATAAGTTTTTGTTTTGTTTTGTTTTTAAAGAAAAATTTTTTGCTATAGGACATGTACACTCACCAGAGAGGCAGAGAGACAAAAATTGAGAAATCGCACCCCAGGGGAGATAGCTACGCCACAGTCCCTTCTCCATTCTCCTCTTGGGATTTTGGGCATGCACCCACACACACCTGGTATGAGTTTTAAGTCACCAGGTCTGAGACTCAAACTATGGTTAACTATGTGGAAGTCCAGCAATATAGCCATTATGCCATCTGCTAATCTCATAAATAAGTTTTTTTTTTTTTAAATCACCCATAATCTGGGTCCAGCAAATGGTGTAGAGGTTATGACAGTTGGGTCCCACATGACCAACTGTGTGGTTTTTATACACAGTTTATAAACAAGCACCTTGAAAAATACATGGGGTGCATGTGCGTGCCTGCTCAAAACGGAGAAGGAATTACAGCATGGCCAGCCCCACTGGGGAATTATTTCTCTCTCTCTCTTTCTCTATCTCTCTCTCTCTCTCTCTCTCTGTGTGTGTGTCTGTGTGTGTGTGTGTCTTGTGAGAACACATGTCATATAGAAAATAAAAATCACCCATAATCCTTAACCCAGATGGTGGCTGGCAGTTTTTGTAAATCCCTTTTATCCATTTTCTCCATGAAGCGGAGTCATAAATTCATCTTATGATCAGATGGATGGAGAAAGTTTAAAGTCTTTATATTTGTCAACACCTTATTTCATTGTTCCCACAAGGATTCATCCACTAGTTAGAGCAAAAATGTTAGCTGATGAATTTAGTCCCATCTGTCTGCCTTCAGGTAATGCTTAGTCTCTGTAGCAAAAATGTGCAGTCTCTCAGGCTGACTCAGTTTTCCGCTGTCCAAGGGATAGAATTTGGTTGCAAAATATTCTCTGTTTTTAAAAGGATGTTGCTGTTTTTATTTTATTTCTTTATTATATCAGAGTGGTCCCTTTACATTTCCTGACGATTCATTCATATAGTATCATTCGTATAGTATCATTCTAATGTAATATGACCGTATTTATGTAATGGCCCTATACTTAAAAAGGTATACAAAAAGCAAACCATTCTTTAAATATAGAAGAAAAATTATTTCATTTAAGAAAACCTATATTTGAGTCTTTTATAAAACAAGCTTTTGGCGAATATGAATTTTGATGCAACAAGCTTTCTATACCCCCTTCTTTGTACACTTAATCACAAACATACCAGTTTTGTGGGCTGCCTTGCAAATAGCCAATTTTGAAATACTTATGACCCTACTTGTTTTTTACTTGACTCTTCCATGAGTTTCTTTGTACTAGATCACCCCTCATTTTTCTTGTAAGAATTTTAATAAAATTTGATGTATTACATCAGACTTTTATCTGAATATGAAGAGAATTTGTGTACAGAATGAACCATACATTAGGTAACAGTATCTGAGGACCGTGGTTGCAAAATATTTTCAGGAAGGAAGTCCATATGAAAAATGAATAGGATTCTGAATTTTAAACAAGTTGATCTTCCTAAGGTTTGGTTCCTATCATCTCTGAGCCAGCTGTGGCCTTCTATCAGCCTTTGGGTATTACATTTCTTTTATGTAATAACCAGGAAAAAACATCTTCTTTCCTGGCTGAGATGAACTTCAGGGTCCTCACTTTCCTCTTGCCAGGAAAACCAGAAAGACTGTGAACTCAATGAACAAATGCCTCTGCCAATCATGTTCTGCCTTATTCTTGCTTATGTATATTCACCCCTCAGTAGAAAATACATTTCATATGTAAGTACTCAGCCTTTTATGCCATATAATTATCCTCCCACATCTTGCTCACTTAAAGAAAACCCACAGCACTGCAGAGTACTGTGATATACCCAGGTTTGTGTGTATGTTGTATCAGACGTTTCTTTGATGCAAATGGAAATTTGGAGTTAGGTATTGTTTATGGTAGGTGAGAGTTGAGATCTTAACTAGCAATAAATAATAAATTATTTTCTTGTATCCAAACATAGCCAAAAGGATCCTTTTAGATTATTTTTATTTTACATACTTTCACTGTACATCACCACTGGAAAATCACATGCAATTTTCCATTCAAAATATACGGTAAAGTAGCTTAAACATACATGTTATTATCAACAAATACTTTTCCATTTCCTGTTTCTTGTATATATATATATGCAGTTGCTTTCTATTCCTTTATTCTTTCCCACATTGTATTGATTTATAAAATATCTTAATTAATCTAAATGCTTTCAATAGTAAGTTCAGCTGATATATACACATCTGTGAATAAAAGTTGACTTTAGGCATGAAACTCTGTGGGTAGAATGAATATGCTATAAAATAGCACATAGCTGAGGCTATATAGCTTACTGTGGTTACCAAATAGGTATTATTTAAATGCACTTTTTAATTTCAAGGAAGGCAGTTTTAACTTTAATAAATCAAAATCAAAAAATGTTAAGAGAACTTTGCTTAATACTTAAAGCCAGGAAACAGGTTAAGATTCTGTTGAATAGTAGGTACATGGACCTGTCCACAACTCAAGAAAAAAACAAAACTCCTTAACACTGGAAAACAAAGCATAGAAGGTCAGTAATGTTTTAGTCAAAAGTCAATTTTAAGAAACAGTAGTATAAATATGGCATCTTGGTAATACATTTGTTGTTGAAGAATATATGTCCAAAATCATCAGTAAAAACATTAGCCTATCTGTTTCAAAATGAAACTTAAACAATATATAAGACAAAGTAGATCTGAAATATGTGGAAATAGCTGCCTCTTAAAAACATTTATACTCTCACATCCTTGTGATTTCTTTGAAAATGTAATTACCTTTGGATGAAGCATTGAGTTCCTTGCTTATTTGCATTCTTCTCTCTTTCAGGCAAATGCTCACAACCTTGTCGAAATGGAGGAAAATGCATTGGTAAAAACAAGTGCAAGTGCTCCAAAGGTTACCAAGGAGACCTCTGTTCAAAGCGTAAGTAACCCATCCACATAATCCCTCTAGGTTACGGGATAATGAAGCCAACAGCAGTTTCTTACTATTGTACATAGATATCATGCCTACTGCATGTTACTTGGACATGACTATTAACCTTTCTTCAACTGACACATGTTCTCTTCATGTAAACCAAAGACATTGTATGAAATTCATGCATCTGAGAAACTTGCACACATTCACATATGTAACTGAATACTTTATCAATAACTATTTAAGATTTTCTTTCTTTCTTTTTTTTTTTTTTTTTTTTAGAGATTTTTGCTACAGGGCACATGCACTACCCTGAGAGACAGAGAGACAGAAAGACAGAAAGTGGCAAATCACCCACAGGGGGCATGGCCATGTCACAGTCCTTTCTCCTCCTTTCTCCTCTCGGGATTTTGGGCACATACACACACGCAGCTGGTGTGAGTTTAAGTAGCCAGGTCCAGGACTCGAACCACAGCCCACTACGTGGGAGTTCAATGACATAACCATTATGCCATCTGTTGGTCCCTCAAGATGTTCTTAAGGAACATAAACTTTTTTTGCCCAGCAGTTTAAAACTCCTACTAAGTATCTTTTTTGAATGAGAAACATTTTAAGATTACACTCAGAACTCTTTTTAAAAAGTCCCAAGCCAACTTAAAGCTGGAGATTGACTTGGGGCGGGGGAGGGGGGAACACTAGGGGATAAAGCCAAAACTAATACATTCTAAGAATGACAGGAAAAGCAGCTATGTAATTCTGTTGAAAAAGTGAATGCTCAGGAAACACTCTGTTTGTCTCCTTTAATTCCAGCTGTCTGTGAGCCTGGCTGCGGTGAACACGGGACCTGCCATGAACCCAGCAAATGCCAATGTCAAGAAGGCTGGCATGGAAGACACTGCAACAAAAGTGAGTGGGGGCCACTTGGCAAGGTTCCCGGCTCTCGGAGACCTCTCTGAGTACACAGGGCCTGTGCCCGTGTTTGGGGCAAGCTGAAGCTGGAGGTGGTATGAATACCCTGGTGGAGGTGCTGTTTCTCTCCCTCTCTCTCTTACTCTCTATCAGAAGAAATAAAATTTAAAAATAAAAAGCAACTCTTTGACTCCTTTTCTCCAACACTCACTTCCCTCTCTCTAAACTTTAAACATCTAAACTTTAGGATCTAAGCTTTAGAATATAAAGTAGAATATCACCTCATTTGCAAAATATCACAACTATTTTATAGATTAAATTAATAATACAGGTTGATTTGATAACTCAGCAAATGAACTATGAAAAAAGATCATCTAAGATTTTTAAGTCAAACATAGAATCAGTATCTACTTGCTTCTGACTTTATTCATTTATTCCATAGTAACACAGAGAGAGAGAGAGATACAGTACCCTCACAGGGTCTTTTTTTTTTTTTTTTGGAGAGGTTTTTGCTATATATAGGACGCGTGCGCTAGCCAGAGAGAGACAGAGCGACATAAAGCGAGAAACACCCCCCAAGGGGGATAGCCACGCCACAATCCCTTCTCCTCCATTCTCCTCTTGGGATCTTGGGCACGCACGCCCGGTGTGAGTTTAAGCCACCAGGTCGGGGACTCGAACCGTGGTCGACTACATGGGAGACCAGCGACATAGCCATTACACTAACTGCTGGTCCCCCCCACAGGATCTTGATGCCTTGATCTACTTCCAGTTTCAGCCAGCCTGGGTCAGCGTACATGTGTGTCCTGGCATGTTTAGGGAGATCTCTAAATGCAACGGGCAACCTTCCTATGTGGGTCTGCCTTGCAGAGCATCATGTTTCACCACTGGTCGCTGCCCCCCACCCTTTGATTTTATCATTTAAGATTTACCAACTAGCTTAAAAAACATGAAGGGTAGACGTGAGCAACTTTGACAGGTCTGTCAGCCTCCAAGTGGCACCCTCACTCTAGACCATGGTGCTGAAAGCTTTGCCTTTAATGTACCTTCTCCAGGTCAAGGCATTGCATGCCAGGAAGATGCCCCAGTGCTTGACTGAAATGCAGACTTAGGAGACAGTGGCAGAGTGGCAAAATGCAATACTGTGTGAGGCTGGCCCACCTGGAAAGTTCTGATTTTGTGTCCAGAGACCTCTCTGAATATGCTGGGCACACATGTGCCCATGGTCCAGGGCTGGCTGAAGATGGTGGTGTCTTGTAGCCTTGAGACCCTATTGGGGGTGCGTTTGTCTCTCTCTTGCTCATGGAATAAATAATGAAACAAAAATTGTTAAAACGAAAACATATTTTCCAGGAGAGGCCACCCAGCTACTTACTACATTAGCTAAGAGAATCAAGCTAAAAGAACAAGGTTTATTTTGACTAGAGGGAGGTGACAAGGAAGCTCTGGGGCTGAGTTCTGCTAAGAGCAGACTCACCGCGGGGTGTCATGCTGGGAGGTCCAGGGCACCCAGGCATAGCAGTGGGGAGGAGGCTACTGGAGTTCCTCCTGTGATTCTTCCTTGCCAGCCGGGAGGTTTGGGCTTCGTGGGTGGCAGGGGAAGTAGCATGGTAGGGATTTACTCCAGCACATTGTTGCTGTGTTTTGACCATTCCAGGAGCTACTAGCCTACATATTAACAATGCAAAGAAGTACACTCAGGAACAAAGTATTCTGTTCTCTGTCAGTTGTTTAACTGCATGCTTGTCTTTACAAACCACGAGGAACAGAACAGATGTGTCAACTCTGACGCATAGGAAGACGGAGGAAGATTATTTTATTTTATTTTTTGGAGAGGTTTTTGCTTTAGGGTGCATGTACTCACCAGAAAGACAGAGAGAGACAGAGAGACAGAAAGCTAGAAATCCCCCCCCCCCGGGGGGGATGGCCACGCCGTAATCCCTTCTCCTCCATTCTCCTCTCAGGACCTTGGGCATGCACACTCACGTGCCCTGCATGAGTTTAAGCCACCAGGTCCAGGACTTGAACTGCAGTTGACTACATGGGAATCCAGCGACATAGCCATAACGCCAACTGCTGGTCCCTGGAGACAGATTTTTAAAGTGGAATTGGTATCTTGAATCAGTTTTATAAAGACAGAAATGAGTCAGTGCCCCTAGCACCTCCATAAGCTCACAAGTAAAAGGAAAGAAGGTCTCAAGGTGTGTAACTCAGTGTTACTTTGCACTGACAGCCTGTCTGGATGCAAATAGACTGATGCCCACCTTGGCTGAAACTCACAAATCTTCATTGATAAAGAGTCAGTTTAATGGACAAGCCTTTCTCTAACATAGATGAGAAGTCCTTAATTATTACAAAATTCCTATTTTATATGAGGGCCATAGGCACATCCAATCATGTGGTCTCTATGAAGCATGGGGGCTGTTATACTAAACTGGGTCAATATAAACCAGGCTGGGGGACTAGCAGTTGGCGTAGAGGCTATGTTGCTGGACTCCCATTAGTTGACTGCGGTTTGAGTCCCGGACCCGGTGGCTCAAACTCATGCCGGGTGTATGTGTGTGCATGCCCAGGATCCTGAGAGAATGGAGGAGAAAGGATTGTGGCATGGCCTATCCCCCTGGGGGGTGATTTCTCACTTTCTGTCTCTCTGTCTCTCTGTCTTTCTGGCAAGCACACGCACGCTATAGCAAAAAACTCCCCCCCCCATTTTTTTTAAATTAAAAAAAACATATATATAAACCAGGCTGGTTTTACAATGCAGTGAAAAGAATTGATGATCAAATCTTCTGCAGAAACATTTGAAACCTCAATGCGAGATCCACACCAGCCCTTGGGTGGAGAGCATCCTCCATTCAATCACGTACATCCAAACTCTGCATCAAGAGGTTCTGCGTGGCCAAAATACAGAGGGAGTGAGGAATCTGATGGAAGCCAGATTGAATGGAGTTAGTAAATGGGTTTCTTTTAACAGAGATCTTGAATCTGTAATATCTTTTCATTCAGGTAGCTTTTTGTGGTCTCTGTGGTCTTTCATTCTGGGTTGAAAAGGGAAAACGGATTTCATTTGAATGGTTAATAATGAATCTGAATAGCCTGTTTTTGTAGTTTCTTTTCTTTTAAGCTGTGAATGATTTTGCAGGGTACGGAGCCAGCCTCATACATGCCCTGCGGCCAGCAGGCACCCGGCTCAGGCAGCACACGCCTTCACTTAAAAAGGCCGACGAGCCGCAGGATCCACCTGAATCCAATTACATCTGGTGAACTCCGGCATCTGAAACGTTTTAAGTTACACCAAGTTCATAGCCTTTGTTAACCTTTCATGTGTTGAATGTTCAAATAATGTTCATTACACGTAAGAATACTGGCCTGAACTTTATTAGCTTCATTATAAATCACTGAGCTGATATTTACTCTTCCTTTTAAGTTTCTAAGTGCGTCTGGAGCATGATGGTATAGATTTTCTTGTCTCAGTGCTTTGGAACAGAGTTTATATTATGTCAGTGGGTCAGGTTAAAATTTTGTCTTCTCAGTGTGTAGTTGGCAGATATTTTCAAAAATTATAATGCACTCATGGTGTTGAGGGGCTGGGGGACATTAGAGAGGATAAATTGGGCAAAAATGCATAATCACAAGGGTTTGGATGAAGCAGTTATTAGCGTCGAAGTTACAGCATTTCAGACTTTATTGCTCTATATTTAGGCATTTATCACATTTTTTAAATTACCCTTATTTGTAAACCCACACTACAATATATTTTGACTTTACTGTTATTCCAGAAGTACAGTATTAAAGCGAAAAACAAACAAACAAAAAGCCATACTGCAGTAGTGGCGTTTAAACAATATAATATATTGTAAACACAATGAAATAGGAAATATAATGTATGAACTTTTTTGCATTGGCTTGAAGCAATATAATATATTGTAAACAAAACACAGCTCTTACATAATAAACATTTTATACTGTTTGTATGTATAAATAAAGGTGCTGTCTTAGTTTTCTGAGTGTTGGATAGAGTGGTCTTTGCATATTGCATGTGTGGAAATGAATTGGTTGCAATGTTGCAGTGGTTAATACAGGTGGTCCCTGACTTACAATGGTTCAACTTCAGGTGTTTTTGACCTCATGATGGTGCGAAAGCAGTACGCGTTTAGTAGAAACCATACTGCAAGTACTCATGCAACATTCTGCTTTTCACTTCCAGTACCAATAAATTACTTTTTATAAAATAGGCTTTCCGGTACACGATTTTACACCACTATAGGCCAAGGTAAGTGTTCCGAGATAGTTCAGGTAGACTAGACTAAGCTGTGATATTCCGTAGGTTAGGCGTGGTTAATGCTTTTTTTTTTTTTTTTTGGAGAGATTTTTCACTGTAGGGCGCATGCGCTCGCCAGACAGACAGAGAGAGACATAGAGACAGAAAGCGAGAAATCACCCCCCAGGGGGGATGGTCACGCCGCAATCCCTTCTCCTCCATTCTCCTCTCGGGATCTTGGGCACGCACGCACACGCGCCCAGCGTGAGTTTTAAGCCACCGGGTCCGGGACACGAACCGCGGTCGACTACGTGGGAGTCCAGCGACATAGCCATTACGCTAACTGCTGGTTCCCAGTGCATTTTTGACTTATGATATTTTCAATTATAATGTGTGTATCAGGATGTAACCCCATTGTTAATTGAGGACCATCGGGCAAAAATCCCAAGATTTTCCTTTCTCTGACCTGGCCTTAGTCCCCCAGCCTTGCCCCTCCTTCTCAGCTCTCTCTACTCCAGCCAGGTTACCTACACTCTGTTGTCGCTGTCTGCAAAATTCAGATCGCAGCTTAGCCATCATTTCTTTCAAGAAGTCTTCCCAGGGATGGCAGGGGCTGTAGTGGTTAAGGTGCTAGACTCCCACATGGCTGACTGCATTCGAGTCCCGGACCTGATGGCTTGCTTTCTCACCTTCCCTTTCTGTCTCTCTCTCTCTGTCTCTCTCTCTCTGATGAGTGCATAAAAAATAATAAATAAAATTAAATAAATAGCTATGTAAACAAAGAAGTTTTCTCTAACTAGAATGTAGTAAATATTTCATTAGTGGAAGACTTTCTAAGACTTTCTAAAAGTGTCAGAATGTCACAAATGAAAAGTGCTACCATATATTGTTGATTCCCAAGTAAATTAGTATGTGTTATCTTACAATCCTTTGAGGTGAATATTATTCCCTTTTACAGAACAGACAACTGAGGCTTAGCGAGATTAAATTTGCCCACGATCCCACAGGAGAGGGGTAGGGTTTAACCATATCATCTGACTCCAAGGCACTAATACCATGCTGCTCTCCTTCCTTCCTCCTTTGCAGCAGGTAAAGTCGGACACAAACGCCACAAATCTTGGAGAGCGACTTTCCAACAGATGCTATTCTCCTCCTCCCATGGGAATATGCACTTATTTTATAAACAATCCAGTGTTCACAGGCTTTCTTCTGCTAAGGTGCATGGCATGATTAGCATGATGTAGGGAAGCGCCATGTTGACATGAAGTGGTCAGGGAGAGGCTGGAAGCAGAATGACTACTTTTTTTTTGGTCACAGTGTTGGACCACAGGGATCCTTCTTTTCTGCCAGACTAGAACCCAGAGTGTCAGCCTGTGATCACACAGACTTGGCAAAACAGACCAGGAGCCAGGAAACCAACCTCAGGATCCCCACATGAGAACAAAGTCATTTATTTAAACCTGTTGGTAAAAATCCAAATGTGCGAAAATGAGGATCTAATGGTAACAGGTGGTTAAGTTTGAAAATCACACTGGGTACGTGTGCATGCATGCTCAATATCCCAGGAGGAGAATGGAGAAGGGATAGCAACGTGGCCATCCTCCCTGGGAGGTGATTTCTCACTTTCCCTCACTGTCTCTCTCTATCTCTCTCTGGTGAATGCATGCACCCTGTGGCAAAAATCTGAAAGAAAAGGAAAAAATGTTTGCTGAGCAGAGAATAATAAGAATAGCTAATATGCAGTGCTCACTTTAAGTGCTTTACTTGTATTAACTGCTAAAAGAATAATAGAGCAGTAGAGAAATTAGACCAAAAGCAGACTGATGACTGCTGTAGTGTAGATCGGGTATCTCCAAAGCAGTTTAATTGCACATTCCATTAAAAAATTTTGAGCACATAATCCTATAGATGACAACTATTTACAAGGATAAATGTATTAATAGATGCGCTGTAAAAACTAGAAATGTTAAAAGAGATAAAAATACACATGGAATCTCTAGTATTTTCCTCACTTATCCGAAAGATGGTTTTATGTATACCCTGAAGCTCACACACACCGGTAGGACATCTTAGGTAAATGGGGAAAAGATAGGGTCTAAAATGGATTTAGGATCGGAGAAGAAACTTTGGACTGAAGAGAGATGTCTGACTTAAGAAGGGAACTAACTGCTTGGTTGAATGGATGAATTAAAAATAGAGGAACCAGGCCAGCAGGGGCATGGAGGTTGAGGCAGCTAGATCCCATGTGGCCTATTGTGTTCAAGCCCCAGATCTGACAGCTTGAAAAACATGCCAGGCACATGTGCATACATGCTCAAAATCTCAAGAGGAAAACGAAAGAGAAGGGATTACATCATGGCCATCTCCCTGGGGTGGGGGTAATTTCTCACTTTCTCTCTCTCTCTCTCTCTCTCTCTCTCTCTCTCTTGCTTTCTAACAAGCACACGTGCCTATAGCAAATAGCAAAACAAAATATAGAGGAATCTGAACAGTGATGATAGTGACCGAGACAGAGATCTAAGGAGAAACAAGTGTAGAGCAGGCTAAGGGTTTCCAGGCATGATAAATGTGGTTATAGAAGATGAGTTAAGAGTACTTTGGAACATCTTGTTGGAAATGCCATCTTGTTGGTAGGCACGTGTATAAACAGTTAGGGATATAAGGCCAATAATTTGTTCATTACTTGTCATATTAGAAATGAGTAGTAGCAATTATTGAGTTACTTTTCATAAGAATATACATGAGAGGTTTAGTCGAGATAGTATAACATAATTCATTCATCTTTTTAGATTTGTTAACATCCTTTGGATTTACCTATGTCTATATTTTTTTGGAAAAATACGGCCTTTATTATTTAGTAAGATGATTGAATGCCAAATGCTCATAGCCATCCTGTGTATTATGACTCTTCATCCAAAATATACCCTTTGGTCACTTTGTTTACTTTTATAGGACCACAAGAATGGAAATCAGCTTCCAAAAACATAGTAAATAAACTTGTTATTTTATGGGATATGAAATCACTGTTGCTACTTTTATAAGATTACCATGCAAAGGAAGGTGGAGGGGGAAGAAGAAAAAGGTGAAGGAAGAGGAGGAAGAAGAGGAGAGTACCTACATAAAATATCTCTCAACAAAAATTTAAAAGTTAAAGTAATAAGGAGTTAAGGCAGTCTGAAAAGATATATACCATTTGACACAATAAAATAAGTAGGAAAATTAGGCAAAAGGAAATAAAGTTTAGATAATAGAATGAGTTGAGGAGTGAGGTTGAGATAAAAAACATACATGTGGCACCAGCAGATGGTGTATTGTTATGTCGCTGGAATTCCACATAGTCAACTGCAGTCCGAGTCCCAGACCAGGTGGCTTAAATCTCCTTTCAGGTGCCTGTGCATGCATGCCCAAAATCTCAAGAGGAGAATGGAGGAGAAGGGATTGTGATGTGGCCATCCCTCTGGGTGTGTGGGGGAGTGATTTCTCTCTTTCTGTCTCTCCATCTCTCTGGCGAGCGCACATGTCTTACAGCAAAAATCTCTCTAAAAAACAAAAACAAAAAAAAAACAAGGCATTCATGAGGTCCTGCACAGTTGTGAGAGATGGACCATATGTTTAGCTCTAAGCTCTGTTCCAGCCTCCTCAGAGAGAAAACCATGGCTTATTATGGGTTGCAAGGACCGTAAACACAAAACAAACTAGTTGCTCAAGAGAAGTTGAACTCTACACGGCACTTTCATTTGGGTTGAATCGAGAGGTGTAAATCTGTAGGACAATTTCTTTCTGGGCATTTGCTGTAGCTGGAAAATTATTTTAAAATACTTTCTATCAGGTGCATGTGTGCCAGAGAGAGAGAGAGAGAAATCACCACCACCACCACCACCCCGGGGATAGCCATGCCACATTTTCTTCTCTTCCATCCTTCTCTCAGAATTTCGGGCATACACACACTCTCACCTGGAGTGATTTTCAAGCCACCAAGTCTAAGACTTAAGCTATGCAGTCAGCCATGTGAGATCCAGCTACATTAAACACCACTCCACTGGCTGGCCAATCGAGTTAATAATCCTTACAATACCTCTTCCATATTTATTTACAGAAGAGCTTCTTGAAGAGGAGATGAGAAAGAAAAATTGCTGAGAATATTCAGCTTTTTCTTCACTTCCCCAGGCCATTTGTCTCTGGCCCTAGAATTTTACACCTGACTCAGTAAACAAAGCTCTCCAAGTTAAGTCCAGCCAAGCTACTCAAAGGCAAGATTTTTTGAACATATTGTTATATCAGCATGTTCCTTGAAATTAGTAACACCACCCCAAGCGGCTTCTCAAAGTAATCCCTTCAACTCTACACAGTAATCTTCCTAAAAGGAGTTTTGGTAACCAGAATTTTTGTCTACATCTTATTCCATACCCAGTCATTCTTATGACACCATTTTAGCTTCAAATATTAAATCTATGCTCATGTTAGCTTGGCAAAATAACCCTAAAGCCAGCTCTAAATGAGAGTAGAAAGGCATGTCTTCTTTGGGCTCTCATAAGAGGTTTTCTACCCTCTAAAGATGACTATTTGCTTAGAGTTTACATTTGAGCCTGAAAGGTAACGCACACTGGGAAGGAGCTACTGCTGCCTCTGCAGAAGCAAAGCAGCTGTGGGTACCTCGTTATCAGCGATACATGTT